TTGATATCGTCCATATGATATGATAGAGAATAGAAGAGTGTAGAAATGTAGTTAGATAGCCTTTAATATCGTGAACTACCTAAATACTATTGTAAATTATTGACAATAACCATCATCCTCATAATAATGATGATGATAGCGTAGATAAGTTGTACGAATAATATTGATTGTTGTTACAGATAAGACTGGCAAATAGATTAGATAACATGTGCAGATATATCAAGATAATGCAATTACTCAAAGTATTCAAGCGTTAAGTGGCTGTAATATCATGTTGATAGCAAGCCTCTACTTGTTATCGCTGACAGGACGAGTTTTTCTAAGCAGGAATAATATAAAATGAAGTAGAGTAAGATGATCATTACGCTATTAATTTTTTTTCAAAATACAATAAGTTGTTCTATAATTAATTAATAGTTATGTCAATACTGGTAAAGTTCACTTGATCTCAATATTTTACCTCAGACAGAGACAGACGCTCGAGCAAATAAGAAAATAATCAAATGTGCTAACCCTTTATTATCTATTGATATCAAGGATTAGCATGACAATTTCCATCAAATTAACTACCATTGAATTAAACAACGTCACCGCCTATTCAGACTATTGAAAAAGCGATTGTTATATTGACGTTAGCATTGATTCTACCGGACTAGCAAGACAATTCACCAATCAACATCTTATGTTATAATTAGCAGCCAAGTTGATTAACAATCATTTAAAAGCTTGAACGATTTAATTAAATTGTATCTGTGTTTATACTACAGACAACGATTGACAATATTCTAGGCAACATTAAATCTAATTGCATCCAGTTGGACCTGCAACAGTTTGATGTAATCTGTCCTCATCTTATCTTGTCAACTTGATCCTTCCTTGAATCCATAGAAGCATATCTGTTTTCTCTTTAATGCTTAAAATATAGGTAATCAGATTTTTTCTTAAGTGGCAATCATTATTTTAAACTATGATTACTGATTTGGCGTAACATCGTTTTTTTCGTATTATTGCATTATTTATTATAGATCTAATTGCAACCCATCACGACAATCTAAGCTAATCTTTATCAATACATCAAGCTTAATTCCTTCAGGTAATTTAAAAGAGAAATTGAAAACTCAATTTTTTCTCTATGTATATTCTTTCTTTACGATTAATGAACTTGAGAATGATATTTTTACAATTTTTCGTCTTTATCTGTAATCACCTTCCATCTCAATCTTCAACTATACAGTTGTAGAAATCACTGCCTCTCTTGATTTCCTTTATAATCTTGACCAGATTTAGTATCAACTACATCGATCGTATTGATACTATTACATCTTTATAACCCCTAAATCTAATCTCTATTGTCTGCCTCCAAGTTTTTCTAACTCTTTATGATTCTATTGCCAGTTATCTAGCACACTATAAATATCTATATGCTATTCGATTTATAACGCTATTAAGTTAAAATTTTATTTAAAAAAGTGGCTAAATTTCTATTGATGTGCGTTGGTGTTATTTACTCCCATTTCTATCAGTACCATGTAGACATTGAAATACCAATTGGAATTGCCTTATAAAATAATTATAATTGTCCTAACATTAAATTCTTAATTGGTCATTCCATTTCTCGACATCCTTTTATCCTATTCCAAAGTGTTTTTAACATTTGCATATGATCATCCACGATAAAATAATGAATAATAGAAAAATAGTAATCAAAATTAGCTTGTAAATCAACTCCTACACGATACACTTTATCTTGCTGATCAGAATATTTTCAGCGCAGACTATAAATAGCTAGCTTAGCAAGAAAATAATCTGATCTCAGATATCAACTCGTTTTATTATCGAGAAAAAAAAACAGTTCTTGCAAACTAAAAATGTTGAAATATTATAGAATTATAGATATTATTATTAACTATAATAGATTTAACGAAAACTTAATCTTGAAGTACTTAAATTAATGAAGAACTATCGATACTTATAGATTACGTATAATTAAAGTATTGACCACAAAATCAAGTGCAGTACTTTCTTGTGAGGGGTCACACAAGCTTTAAGAATTGCCAAGTATATTATTTATTATAGTTATGGTAACAAAGATATATGTTACCATTCTATTAATGATTTCGATCATGCAATGAATCGTATTTTCTGTATATTACCTAAAGTTATATCTAGGAAGAAAGAAATTTATGACAGTGTTGCTGTTAAATCTACTAGTTATAAAAAATCTAATCGTACACAATTTGAAAGTTAAGCTAAAGCAATATTAGCTTATTAGTAGAATCTTTTACCAAGGTATTTAGTCTTAAATTCTTCTTCTTTGTACCAATTAGCTGTACATTATAAAGCTGAAAAAGCTCTACTGCGTTAAATGATATCATTAATAAATTTCCTTTTCTAAATACACTCATCATCTAATAACTAAAAATAATAAATTAAATCAACATGGGAATATCTTATCATGTTTGAATTCTTTCTTGATAGGTAAAATGTTACATTTTTATCCCCTTTTATTACCTCTAAACCTTTATCGAGTTATTCTATATGCAAAATGAATCATAATTTAATTCAGTTCACAACATCTGCCATCATCGCGATCATATCTATCAATAACTTCTTTTATTTTATTCATTTTATGACTATCTAATGGTCACAGTAGTCTTCTGTGCTTGATTGATTCTTGTACCAACTGGTTCGATGTCCAAGCTAGTGAGACATATAATACAGAAAAGTGAAGTTTTTATCTCAGTGTCTTTGATATTAAACACAATTTATACGATCTTAAATAAAATAATGCGATCAGTTAAGACCATCATTTATAATCGTTACCATGCGAAAAAATAGAGTAAGGTCCATTTATTTTGTTGCCATGATGTTAATTTTTAATTCAAGGATAAGTCAAAGCCCTATTTGATATTCATTATAACCGTGTTAACTTGTTTTATACTTGCCTAATTCAAATGATATGTTGGTTTACTCATTTCCCATTACTTATCACTATTAAATAACTTGATTATGCAAAAATGCCTTTTAATATCGTTAATAAATTCTCCACTGGGAATCATTCATTTTATTGCCATGATATTAATTCTTCAGCGCATGAATAAATTAAAGCAGTAGCTAATTTTCGTTACTAGTCCATTTAACCTATGTAATATATAAAAATATATGTTTTATCCATATGACATGCTTATTTTCCTTCCAACAACGCTATCAATACATACAATTACGTTAAAAATCTTCTTTTATCATCGATTTGTCATTAAATAAATTATACAGCAAGTTGGCTCATTTTTGTTACACTGATATTAATTCTAAACGTATAGATAGCTCAATATGTTATTTAATCTCCATTACATTACTTGTTGATTTATTTCACACGTATTCAATTTCCATAGCACTATATGTCAATACTTCTATTAGCAATTATTATCCCCTTTTATTTAGACCTACCCACCTACTTCTGCCCAGATTGGGAAAAAATTGATTAAGCAGTCAATTTTGTGCTACCATGTTAGGGTCCACTTTCAGTTATATATTTCCTTTAGAGCTAAGTCATATACTTATAGTAATGTCGCCAACACATTCAACATGACTAAATGTGATAAAAAATGATCCTTGGATTGCTTGCTATTATCATAACATGTTAATTTGGAAAATCTATTAATCACTAGCCGCATAATAACTTTTACTAAAATTTTACTTTAGGTTATTTTATTATTTCATGCAGTACATGAGTATACAATATTCTCAACCTGTTTAGTAAACACACACGTATGTAGATATTCCTATAGTTTGAGGATTATTTGTTAATTCCATGTTAAAAGTGACACTATCCTCCGCCCTTAAAGAAATTATTTCTGACTCTCTTCCTATCTATCTGTCTTCATAATATAGATAGAATTCAATCAATTAATTAACGTAGACATAGACCACATAGAATAGGCAGAGAAGCGATAGATGACGTCTTCTATGACATTCAAAAAAGACATTGAGTTATTATATAAAAGCATGAAGAAAAATCAACTCCGATTTTTTTTGTCTTTAAGTTGCATCCATTCTTTTATACTGTATATTAGAAACTTTGCTTCATTTTAATCAATGACTCTGATAGTTGTATTCGTATTAAAACAACTTATATTTAATATTCAATAATTAAAACACCTTTGTTGTCTGTTGTTGAACAATCTTGATTCCATTGTAATGTTATCGTCATATGACTACAAGAAATGATCTTGATGTCATTGGCATCATTGATGATTTTGCAAGTTATATTCATCAATTCAATTTGATAAATTAACGCTATTACACAAGTTTTATACATTCCATTATAATGTTAATATTAGTTAGAAGTCTTTATTCACTGCTTATTTTATATTATTAAACTACTTGATCGACGTATAGTTCAACAAATTATTCCTTTACCCAATCAACATATCCTACCCATTTATTTGTTGAGTTACGCGTAGGAAGAAGATTTAATCTGCAATTAAACCCTAATCGCTATGGATGCACTTTAGAAAGAAATTCGTTCGTGGTCTTGTATATAATTTAATAAGAGCTATTACATCTTGGTGATTTCTAGTTAAAAATTGATTCCTCTAAAAAAATCTCTACTGTTATTTTTTACCCGTAAGTTTCTATAGCAGAAATAGATAATCTTTTCTGCTATAGTATAGGTGTCTTTGATAGTAACGACTAGATGATTACTACAGCAATAGCCTACTAATCGTTAAGTAATGGCTACCTATTCATCCAGATACTTACTGCTTGACCGATATTGATAAAGGCAATCTTACAATTTTTCTGTTTTGGGATTATTTCATTATCTAGGTAGAAATTAAAGCGATAGATTGAAGCGGAAAGAAAAGCTAATCAAGTAAATTACCTAAACTTCAACTAGAATCAAGAGTCGTCAAGATTAACTAATCTTCTTCGGGTTCAAATTAATTTCTATGGAAATTCATGAATATAATCAACCTTCATCTATCGATCTTGCTAGTAAAATGAATCATTTCAATCCAGAATTTAACAGTAAAAGCCGAGATCAAACTAACTTGGAAACCACAGCAACAATCCATTTTCGTCAACCAATTCATTTACGTGGTGGTAATATTCAAGCCCAAAATCAAGATCAATGCCAAACATTTATTTCTCAAGGACCACCGCCGCCACCACCGTATACCGGTAGAATGGATCCTAATCAACCTAGCATCATGACAAGTCTACTTCCTCATCCATTAGGCGATGAACAACAATTTGGTACGTCGGTTGCGCGACATTATTCTATCCCTTTACAACATCAAGATCCGCGTCATCGCCAAGTTTTGCCTCATGATCGTCAAGAATTAGGTAACCACTTCGGTCAAATGGATGCCACTTTTCCACCCAATGTCCACCATGGAATGGTGGATTCAAACGCCGGCAATAGTATTTATGCACCTCCACCGCAATTACGACCCGGTGTTGGCACTAATGAAATTTTAAATGTAACGGCACTTATTTACCCGAACCGCGATGATCAACAGGTATGTGAAAAAAAAAATGGCGTGCTACTGCTATTTTATCGTGTAGATAGTACCGTACTGAGTAAACAATTACGATATTAGAATCTGCCCAAGACATAATCATGCCACCTTGTACACTAACATCACAAAATCGACGCGAAAAACCTCGAATAGATTTGATCAATCATGTGTATTTTTTTCATATTTTGATATATTTAAAAATTCACACCAATAGCTATCATAATAAATTACCTTCGCTTTCCATGGATCGATAGGTAGTACACGTAATACGCGTCTAAATCATCTCGTCAATTAGACTAGAATATAAATTTTAATGAGCAGGAACCAACTATTCATATGATAGACTAGAAAATTCAATTTTCGATCCATTGAGGTGGTGGTTGATTGCGAGCTTTTGGCACCATAGTAAATATTTTATCTCTATAAGATCAGAAGAATCACAGTTTGTGTTGATTAAACACTGTCAATAGTCGAGATAAAGTTTAAAGTCAATTGCCTCAGGGGAACACTTACTTTACACATATGTTCGAGGATAAATATTTTTTCTTCGTAAGATTAAGTAAAACGCGGCTAATTTTCCCTTCAGGTTATGTTTATTTTATTCATACTAAGAAGTTTTGACAAGAATAATTTTAGCGTTTTCTATTTTTCATTTTTTTTTTATCCATTGGGGGTGGTTTATGTTATCCTGAAGATTTATTTCATTTTTTACAACCTTCGCCATGATGCTTAGAGGAGGATACTACGCCCTCCTACTGATTGACGTAGATATTAAAAAATGACTGAAGACTTTTATAGTAATGTGCATATGTTTTATTTAAGCCCTCGTATTATCACAAGATTGCCATTTTTGACGTAGCTTTTTAGATTTCCAAGGATGGTCAATCCTACGACGACGAGCTCTTTTTATGCTATTTTAAGTTTATATAATATCTCTAGTTGATCTAGTAGAAAAGGATTGCAGCCGGAAAAGTTCGACGATATACCGTCGCCCATGTTTTAGTATTATACCTTACACAGTAATTGGGTACCGTACGTATACTGACAGCTGAATGTTATTCCATAATTAAAATAAACTGTTGCGATAGTAGATTTGCATCACTATAGAGGTAAGATATTATGGCTGTGTTAGATATATAATGACGATACTGTTTGTAGATAAGCTATAACAGCAATAACTCGCCTTTATATGGCATTATCGATGCTAACGAAAACGGTAATAGGTTGGGTAGGACTAAAAACTTTAGCAACAAATGCGGCAACGTTAAATACACCCCTTACAAAAATGATCTAACTACTGTGGTAAACTTAACCTAGAGTTTAATTTAAGTAGAGTTCCATCATTAATTAGAATATGAGATAATAATTTTGAGATAACTCAGAATTATTAGATTATATCTGATTTAAAGACAGCTTCATTCTCAAAACTGATGTTTTCACGTTGTTAGACTAACTCAAAAAAGTGGGATGGCAGTTCTGTTAGCATTCTACACAATGTAAATATGTTATAATGTTTTGTGTAAATCAGTCATACATTCTTCGCTCTTCTTTTCTCTAGACTTTTTTTGTCTCAATAATTAATTTATCTTAATGCTTCATTATTGGTTGATTACTTGTCCTACTTGTATACATAACCTAAACTAAGTTAAATATTATATTGATGGCGCTAGTTGTTCACACATGATTTAAGGAGATCTTGATAAACTGTGAGACACAACGGCGAGACATTGTCATGTTTATCTATAACCGTCCGAATGATCGATTTACTTACCGCTATATTGTACCTATATCCATCTAACTGGATTCTGTGACAATTGAGAATAATACTATATTACGTACGGTAATATCTATTATTTTACCCTGAGTGATTCTACGGATGTTGGTTTGCCTTACATAATTTTTGTAATAAAAATCTCAGTTAAATATAACTAAAGTCAGTAATAGTCAATTGCAAAATTTTACCCATGCTAATACTACTTTTTGTCTAGCATTTATTATCATATGACCAGCAATTTTAGGGAGGGGTAAAGTTGTCGCCATGTTTCCTTAACCAACCATCAAATATGCATGATAAGGATAGCTACCACACAGTATTCCACCGATTAGGATCTATTTATCTATATCAAGAGTACATCTGTGCTTTCGAAGCTATTTAATTAACTGATATAGATTGCTAATTAAGGGCATCCATGTCAATCAAGTTTCATAATAATTTCTTTGACACAAAAATCGCAAATGAACCCTCTATACTATGAATTTCAATAATGATATAATACAGTGCTGCAATGAAGGATAAAAAATTGCAACTAACCGATACAGTAGCATTTTCCATAAGACATTATCGACGTAAGATATCGGTTAGCTTAATTCTTGACCGATAATTCGCTTTAATAAACTATGGAAAACAGTATTAAATGAACATTACGTTCCATAAATAGCATTTATAACATGCAAAAAACGATCATCATTTCTTCTTTAACTTTTTTCGCTCCATCTAATAAAAATTCTAGCACAGTAGTCTGGGATGTATGTTACTTTATTAGATTGTATTGAAAACTTTCTCTATTTTTGGCTCATCCCTAGTTACCTTAATTAATCATCTTCTACGGATTAAGATTACAAATAGTACGTGAGCGTTAGATGCTGTTGCACAAGGCATAATCCATCGTTTCACCATTTAGAATAATAATGTTGTCCTAAAATGGATAATGAACAGGTTGATGAAGTAATCATAAGATAATGAGATGACATAAAAAAATGGGTTAACAATTATGCCGCCATGTAGTCTCTAACTAGACAAAGCAAATATTAGACAAAAGTAGATATAAAACATAAATAGACACAAAGCGGCCAATATATCGATATTGTTAAAAGTATTGTTGTCAAAACTGGTTAATCCAAGCCTATTGGTTAACGATTGGAAAAGCAATCAATAATTTTCTTTTCTCTTGTGAATAATAACTATCGAAATACAATGTTCATTATAGTCCATCTTTCTTTCCACAGCTGCCTTTCTACGCATTCCATAACTATTATTTCTAGATAACATCTCATCTGATTGGCATAAAATCCCTTATAGTCATTATATAGATACTAAATAAATGAATTTGTTGCAGATAAATAAATTGCTTTAGTACTTATATTCATGTACCTGATTATGGAGAATAAAATCAATTAGTTATTCCCGAATTAATGTGAAAAAACTTTAATTTTAAAATATTGAATGATTCCGTAAAGAATTACATAGTGATTAAGACTGGATACTATAAATTAGTCTATAATACGGCATAAGATTCTGTAATTTATATCATCAGTATACATTCTAGGACAATTTCATATTAACATTTCTCTTTGACCTTCATTTATAGGATCCTATGATACATCGTGTCCGCGACAGACAAAATGCAGGTAATTTAATTAAAGCTTGTACTTGATTATTTGGACTTGCTATTTACGGAATTGCATCTGCTTCAGAAATGGTTATCTTCATAATTTATCACTATCATGTTCTTAGTATCATATGTTTTTACAGAATCGATCTATTTATGATATATATTAAACTGGAAAAACATATTCTAAGTTAGTAATTACAGCTACGGTATAAATTGAATCAAATCAAGTATATTTTTATTTTTAAAATGACACCCAAAAAGCATAATTAGAAAATTAGAATAATAGGCATTAGTGCAATTCTGATTTATTTAGTCTAATTTTATAATAGACGTACGGAGCCCTACTTGCTCTATGTATGGATATCTTTAATTAAGGATAAAAAATTATCTGTTCAATATTTCATCTTCTGTTATCAAAAATTACTAATATAGGGTAGGATAATCTGTAGATAATAAGCATTTGCTTAAGCAGAGATACAAAGTACCATTTCTTATTTGTTCATGATATCATGATTTAATCTCGTTATAACAGACACTCTGGACAATCTGCCTAAAATTAAATATTTTTTATATTAAATTTGAGCTCATTAATCATTTGTAATATAGGCAACGCAATCACCAACGATGACCGCAATTTAAAAAACAACGATGAATTTGAAATATCCCCTAATTTAGTCTTTTGCCATGTACCGGGCCGTTTGTCCCTACTTAGCTCTACATCAAAGTATAAAGTAAGCGTTGGAGAAGTTGAACGAAGACTTTCATCACCTGAATGCTTAAATGCATCTCTTCTTGGAGGAGTTTTGCGAAGGTATCAGAAATAGCAGATAATTATTTCTTTATCATAATATTACGTTAATATTCCCATAATTTAATTATCGATTGAAAGAAGTAATGACTTAAATTTTGTAAAATAATGTCAATTGATAGATTAACAATATTTATAAATGTAATGAAAATGCATTATGGCATCACATATCATAGGGCAAAATCCAAGAATGGCGGTAAAAGTTTAAGAGAGAAATTGGAAAAGTATGGTTTACGTTTACCTGCTGGTCGTAGGAAAGCAGCGAGCGTTACTCTTTTAACATCTTTAGTTGAAGGTTAGGAAACATTGTAAACGTCATAAATTTATATCCCACAAATATTGCCTATCAGTTCAAATAGATTTATATAGTATTCTGCGTGTTCGTAGAAATTTAAAGATATTGTGGGCATAGTTAAATAATTATAAAGTATTATAGTTGTGTATATACCGTATTTACTTGATAAGATTCGATATACGATTAAAATATTAAGAATTAAATATCATTTAGTTTTATTTGATTGTTTACTTAAAATTAACCGCAGGTGAAGCTAGCCATTTAGCGCGTGATTTCGATTATGTAAGCAAAACAGAATTTCCAGTTAAGCGGTTAGCTCAATATACGAAAAGACAGCATACTAATGATAAACAAGCTCTAGCAGCAAAAGTGGAGGCATCATTGTAAGTTGAAAGAGTAATTCTTAAATTAGATGATCTTATTTACTATTTTGATTTTATATCGATAAGATTAGTTGATCATAATGCACATGTATACTATAAAAAACTTAGAAAATTGGTCAAGGAATTCCAAGATCTGATTCTTTGCGGTCCACCGGGAATGTCATACGAGTGGGAACCCGGTGTAGATAAAGATGTATTTAATGGATTACGTCATTTTGCATTAGTCACTCATGGTTTTGGTACACCAACAATTGTAACTGCTATCAATGTTTTCCATCGATATCTAGAAGAGCTATTACAATCTCAAGATAGTAAAGAAAATGATGGAGGCCAAATGGGTAACGGAAAATGTAGTTCATAGCAGAAGTGAAAGTCGATAATAACTATCGCATATAGTCCAAAATTACATCAAATCACATCTCGATATTGCCTCGGCTTGTGCTAATGCTAGATAGTTATATCCATATCTGCTGATTGTTGACAGATGGTTTATTACGTTATTCATACAACTGAGAGCATAATTACAAGCTCCATTTTTAAATATATGATGTATACTCTTATAACTGATTAACAATTAATTATTATTAATCATCCGTCGATACATACATAAAAGATATGAAAGTAGTAATATCATTGTAGAATTTACTTTTATTTAAATTGTTTCCGATTGCTTGTTATTAGTAATAGAATTCTTCTATAGAGTAGTACATTATATTACAAAATTGATCTCAAGACCGTAGTATAGGGTAATATCAAATATAGATAAGGTGTTTTGTGATGGTAAAAAATTGAAACAGGATTGCTTAGATTTGATCGGAAATCTTCCTATGCCTTCCTCAACTTACACGTATCATCGTAAGAATGAATAGTATCTCGCTACGTAATTCAGTTACAGTTTTGCTTAAATTTTATTATATATTCTGTTAAAGCCCTGTACCATGGTAGATATTATATCTACGAATGAAACGTATATCAATATCTTGTAGAGTATTGAGGATATTATTATTATTATTATTATTACTATTATTATTATTAATATTATTATTACTATTATTATTACTATTATTATTGTATCGTTATTATTAAATATTCATAGATAGTGAAAAGCCGTTGTGGAGAAAATGGTTACATTTAGGTTAATCATTCACTATCTATTTTCGAAGATGAGTGTATGGATAATATTAATCTTCTATATTCACTCTAATGTGTTTTCTTTCTCTTTTAATAATGATAATTTCATGATGAGAATATACTTTATTAATGTTCTACGTCTAAATTTTGCTATGATGAAAATCTCGCATAGTAATATGTATTTAAATATTTGTAACATGCAATCATACATCCCTAAACATGTCACATGCAATTATAATTATATATTTATGAAAGTAGCTAAAGAATGTTATTTGTCCCACTGCTTGCTTTCCTTTTAAGTATTGAAAGAAAAATGACTGCCAATGTATAATAACATTATTCTTCTTTCGTTGATTACTAAAATTTTTACTACGGTTTCACTTTGATTAAATAGTGGTGAAAACAAAAAGTCAACTTTGACTGTTTCAAATTCTTCTAGTTACGAATACTATATACAGCATTCTTTTCATCTATTGTGGCGAAATCGATAAAAATGATTCCCTTTCTTGTTATAATTATTGCTGATTGCCAATTTTTAAGTGCCAATACTACTATTTAAAGCAACTTTCTGCCCTTTATTCATATGTTATTTATAATAAACAATTGTAATTTATGCAGTAGTTGATGCGTACTATCATCTACTAGAAATGTCATCGATGTATGTATGTTAATGATAGATTTATTAATTAATTAATTTACTAATCATAGCTTGTGGCAATTTCTGCTGTACGAATAGTATATCCGCTTACTGTTATTTTAATTGGCTAGTTATTTGGTTATATAGCTTTCTGCTTTAACCAATTATCATGATTGCGATTATCTTTGACCTAGTATATAATATATAATAATGAATTAAGTAGATTTGATTGCGGCTGTTTTTGTTCTGCTCGTTAAGATTCTATGCTATCTTTAACAGTATAGCATTTGAAATGTGTTTTTACTTTCTGATCAATTTCAATTACCTCTATAATTTTAAATTATCTCTAAATCCTTTTATTTGTCTTTTGCCTTGTCTATTCCATGACATCAATAGTAAATAAATAAATTTACTTCAGGCCGTAAAATGAAGACTTTTATTTTGATGAAAGTCTACAAAAAATTTCTAAGTTCATTCTAAGTGTCTACTAACATCAGTAATATAATAGTTCTCTGCTGTACATTGTGTAATGAGTAGATCTAAATGTTAATTTTTACAGAGTAACAACATTAGAACATAAATTTATGTAATATTTTACAATAAGTAAAAAAGTTATAAATCAAGGAATAGATTGTCAAAGAAATACTGAAATGCAAAGATATGTCGTTTCTAAAAATCAAAGTATCATTACTGAGAGTAGAAAAATTAAGAAATACAGAGTGATTACATATACAGTGTGATAGCTGGTCCGTGTTGCATTCAGTGAATTAGTTTTAAACGAGAAATTTCATAAGTAAATATGTACACGGAGGTACGGGTTGTCTGAACAGAAACTTCAGACTAGAAAACTAATTGTAATTCAATCATACAATTTTAGAATTCACCGCCGAATACCAGTAAATCTTCCACGTGGAATAATAAATGTAACAAGGATATCGTACAAAAGTTGTACAAAACTAAGTAATGTTTATAGGTTTTACTGAGACGGGTAATCTCAGGATATTATCCAGCAGCAACAAATCAGCGTTAGTTGCATTTAAAATAAACGGTAATATAGGATCATTTGATACAGTAACACTTTGTACAGTGTTAAAGTATGAATTTATTTCGGACGGCTTTAACTCATCTAGCAAACAATAATCAGCTATCTGCTTTATCGCTCTTTTCTGGTGCTTGTGATCTTGTTAAAATTGCGTTTGTCAGCCATATTACAGGAGAAAATACGTGACATGTTAATACCCTTGATGTAAAAAATTTAGTAATAATTAGTATAATTTGAACTACAAAGTAGATACATATTTTATCTGGGAACTGTATCGCATTTTAATTATTTTATTTTCAAACTAAACAATGTTCATAATTAATATATTTTGGTACAATGTAGTAGTATTACTCGAATTTGTTAACATTGAAGGGTGAAGTAGCCGCAGCACTGCAGATCAGCAAAGGAAAGAAGACGGAAAATACGCATGAACTATAAAATTTCAGAAACATATATTTATTATAGCAATGCCTATGGAAATGATCGGTGTCATAGGGTATACTGGTCGAAAATAACGTAGCTTATATATATGGTAATTTGTAACCTTATAAAGAAAGATTCTGGTATATAAGTTAAAATAGCTAATGGTAGTCCAAAGCCGCAATAAAAAGGTAGATTATATTCAATTCTGTATAGTCTTTCCTGAACAAGAAAACCTACATAAACAAATTCGTTACGTATGAAAACCACTCAATTATGGGCGTAGAAGAGAAGTAGTAAGTAAATAAATTCTGACTGAAGTAATATATATTTGCTCAAATTTTCATTACCCATGTTAATCCACTTATATTCGTAGGCATACAACGAATATAATATAGCCATTTGAAGTATACAAATTGCTCTACCAATGACAGGTATAAAATCAAAAATTGATCCCTATTATAATGTTATGTATAGCAGTTTTAGTACATCAAGGTTAATACTGTAGATTGTGTCAGTACAACATTTATTAACTTACTTGCAATAGGAAGAAAAATTCAACCAAAAGACTGAAAAAAAAGTCCGCTATTATCCTACTACCGGCTTCCACTAGACTGCGTACCGAAGAGTTATAGGATTAGATTGAATGCGAAATAAGGAATTTAATATAGCATAAAAGTTACTGAATACTATAATACATGCATTAGTTGCTACTACTTTTCTTGAACGTTCTAACACCAAAGTATATGCAGAGAATACCACTGCCGTATAAGTACAATAAATTAAAAGAATACTTAGTTTAAGAATAATTATATTATTTATGGCTGTTTTATGTTTTTGACACTTAGGAGGTTAAAATTAAACTGATTAACATCAATAGCTAAATAACGAAATAAATCTAGTAACAGGACGTAAGATTGACATTATGATTTATGAATGCCAGCTATAATATAAGAATTTTAATCCAATCAACCTGCTACTTTTGGTTGTCAGTGTTGGTTTTGGCCGACCTCTGTTAGATTGATACGAGTGGATAGCAATTTCCTGCATTATGTAGGTTAAGAATACAGTTAATAGATTATATAATGGTCAAGAAACAATAAATGACTAATGATGCGGCTTAACATATGACCAACAAGATAGATTAAGAAAAAAATATTTGCCGTGTCTACATATAATGAGTATTGTAATAGATTACCAATTGGTTAACATTTCAAGTTATCAAGTATATAATTATGAGTAATTTTTGTAGTATTAATTAACTTTAAAATTACCTGAAACCAAAAACTGTTTAAAGGCTTGCTAAGCCAGAATAGAGGGATAACCCACAACATTTTAAATGTGTACGATAGCAAAGTTTCTATCCAGAACCATAATTGTATGTGATACGATGAATCTGGTATGAATATACCTAGAGTTAAAAAGTATATATAAACAGAATTATTAACTCATCTACACTACAGACAGACCTATTCTTGTCTACATCCTAAAGATGAAGGCGTTAAATATTGTTTAAAATCTATTTGATAACAACACATTATGTATCTTGCAGTCCATGAAAGGCGATAAAGAATTGATAATGTACTGTAAATTCGTAACAAAAAACGATGATTGGATATGATTATTATTGCTGTCCTGTTTATGGCATACCGAATACGGCTTGTGTGATGTACTTCAGAAAAGGGATTAATCCATGGTCAAAGAACAGTATGCTAAGCTGTAAAAAAAATTTTAACAACTTGGTTGTCGATTTTCTTACATTGATCCTCATAATTACATATTGAGAAGTTACTTGTTGGCCTTAAATCATATAATACGTGAAATTACACTTATTCTATTACATATAGGATACTTTAAAATTCTATCCGAGAAGAAGTAGGTGTAAGATTGAGTAGTCAATACTATACACATGTACAGTAATGTAGCCAATGGTTGAATTTTGCAAGATAGATCTTATACGTTATTATTACTATCATTTCATATCATTGATAGTTATTATATCGCCAAAGTGTAAAAAATACTTATAACAATTGCACACATCTTTACAGTATTTGTCATGTCATACTAAACTGGTTTATATAGCAAGGCGGTAGCTAAAGTAGTAAGCTACATTTTGGACATAATTTAAGTAAGTACTATTTCATTTAAGGTTTTATAAAGTTATGAACATACTCCAAAGACTCCACCATTCAAAAGTCCACATTGCAGTATTTTACTAGTGATGGGATTGAGTTTCAGCCACGCGTTGCTATTGGAAAAGAAGAGTTTAAAGATTGATTATCGATTAGTTGATATAAAGTTCAGTTGAATGACGGTGTATGTAAATATTAGGGCAGGATGTGGAATTCTGCCCGTAACATTAATCTATAGATATAGATATATATATATATATATATATGGTATAATCCAGTATGGTCGTGCACTATTACTTGTAAGAACCTTAATCTATAAAAATCATCTATTAATCAATGTGTTTTGATTACGATGATTTCATCCAAGTAATCGACGAAGGCTAGGCATAACAACGGTATCAAAATGGAGTGGATAACTGTATAATTTATTTTATAATTGTCAATCATAGTAAGTACCGGTATTGCTCGTATTCATACTAGGAGCTAGTAGCAATGGGAGAGTCGAGAAGGCATTACAGTAGCCTAATGCGATCATTCGCTTTCTATTTTATAACCGTTGTAGTCCAGTTTACAAGTACAGTACGAGTATTGATATAATGAATAGGTGTAGAGTAGACGTTCATACGCGTACGTGCTATACGTACGCGTATGTTATGCTGTTAAAAGTGTTTAGACTTCAGATTGAGATCTACAGAGTCAATTCAATAATATTTACCAATACATAATCCTTAACTATGAGCAGCATGTCGATATCAAAAATGATCCTTTCTAAAGACATCCTGCATTTTGTAATAAGATCAACTACAGAATAAATGATCGTAGTGTAAATAGTGTATATACACATACATACTTGATCCTCTTTCGATCATAATTTTCTCTTTGATCGCTTGGAGATTGATTTCTATTACCGCTTGCACTGGTCGCTGTTATAGTTTGGGCTACTCCAATCAGTGATTGCTTAAAGCCTTCTATAAACCAATAAAGAAGAGCATACATCGATTTTTGATAGAATTCCATGATCTACATGATTTTTCAACAGTAACGAATAAGTTGAGGAGCAAGAAGTGGTCAGTGGTCAACTAAGTGATTGAAATGGACAATTTTTGAAAATGTAAATAGTAAAATCGGTCAACTTTAGTTTCAGTATACTGTAGTGTACTGTACAGTGTACAGTACACTGCTGGGCTGTATACTGTAGACTGTAGACTGTAGGGTAATCAAAATGATGAACCGTCTCTCAGTGTTTCTGTATCTTAGAATGCCAATAACTACAGTACTGTAAGCCACGTTTCTATTACTGTACAGTGTACAGTATAGTACACTACTAGACTGTAGACTGTAGAGTAATCAAAATGGTGAACGGTCTCTCAATGTTTCTGTATCTTAGAATGCCAATAACTGCCAATAACTACTGTACGTACTGTACAGTACAGTACAGTAAGCCCCGTTTCTATTACAGTACATACTGTACTGTACTGTACTTTAGTTTCAGTATACTGTACTGTACAGTACAGTACAGTACAGTACACTACTAGACTGAAGACTGTAGACTGTAGAGTAATCAAAATGGTGAAAGGTCTCTCAGTGTTTCTGTATCTTAGAATGCCAATAACTACTGTACAGTACTGTACTGCAAGCCCCGTTTCGTTTCTATTACTTTAGTTTCAGTATACTGTACAGTACACTACTAGACTGTACAGTACAGTACAGTAGAGTAATCAAAATGGTGAACGGTCTCTCAATGTTTCTGTATCTTAGAATGCCAATAACTACTGTAAGCCCCCCTTCTATAGTGTAGTACCTATGACACAGAATAGCTATGTTTGGACTATACTGATTACTGTACGCTGCTCAGTAGTTGAATTTTATTTTTAGATTGGGCATGGACGAAGCCGTACACAGTACATTATTCAGTCATGCAATAAGAAGTCTCAGCGTGTGGTCACGGCGTGATGAACATGGACTGATTGCACAGCAAGGCAAGCAAATAACCATGTGCACCAATACGGTACTGTATGATACCATCTCATGGATTAGTACGGTACAGTACGGTAGGATCTGCACAAGACCATGGACAGCATTTTATCTCTACTGAATACAGTACGTTTAACACTGTACATTGTACTGTACCACTGACGGGCACTGTACCAGACAGTTCTGATAACTGTACGCTTAATACAGTACCACTGCCGGGTACTGTACCAGATATTTCCAAGGACTGTACCGTACTGTACGATACTCGTTTACGTAGTGCTGGTGGTGCGATCCCTATTTAAATATCAATTATGATGTCAATACATCATGTGATGATGCATGACAATAACGCTGGCTTTTCACCCCCCGTATCAACGTACCATTGAAGTGTTACACCGCACTGGATGGGTGAGACGGGTGAGGTCATACCACTCTCATCCCCACGTCCACTGGCAAGAGGTCACGCACGGAAAGCCTCGTCCAATACTAATAGACTGTGATCCATACTGTACTCCACCAATTTGGACATTTTCGTGGATAACATCGACAAGCTTGATAAACGCCGACTGGTAGCCATGATTCAAAATCTAATCATAACTGGAGGTAGTATAATTAATGTGACACAATGGTGGATACCAACGTTAGTAACCATTGGATGTGCTCTTTACCTGTATAAAGGTGGTAACAAGCAAGTTAGCAAGAAGGTTAGCTACTTTTTCAACATTGGGTATCCAAGTATACAAAAATTCAAACGGCCTACAGTATTAGCTAGTCATGAGAAGAAGCGAGATTAGTTGGATTCATTATAGGAATTTTATATCGCTGCTACATCAATATTGCATAGTTTTCCTCGTTATACCAATTAAAACTACATAGTAGCTAGCCATTGCAAGAAGTAAAATTGGACAGACCACAAGTATACAAAAATTTAAACGGCCTACAGCATTAGCTAGTCATGAGAAGAAGCGAGATTAGTCGGATTCATTATAGGAATTTTATATCGCTGCTACATCAATATCGCATAGTGTTCCTCGTTATACCAAATTAAAACTACATAGTAGCTAGCCATTGCAAGAAGTGAAATTGGACAGACCATAAGGATGATACATATATCACTGCTACATCAATTTCTAATATTGTTGCTAGTGGATCATACATTTGGAGAATGTAATACGCTCACACGTAAATTGTGCAAAATTCTTTTACACAATTTACACACATAGTCGTATCATATGCAAATAGTCTTCTTACATCCTATGCTCGTAGATGGTAAGGTGGACAGTAATAGAACGGTATTCGCTTTAGTTAAGCGTCGTAGCTTTCCTAAATGCAGTGCGCGTAAATCGTATTTACTCCGTGGGGTCTACGAACTCCGTAACCCTACTCTACGGTATAGTTACTTAGTAGGATTGGTCTGTGACCATGGTCACTACTGGCTTTCTTTACCGTTGCTAATACAGTTACAGTTGCCATGAATCGCAACTTCTGATGTACTTCATTGCCGATATTGTGACAATGTTCGAATGAAAATGTACCGTAGTTTTATGTTATGGATGACTTTACTTCTTAGATAAATTAAGATACTGCAATGAATATGATTATATCTGATTACAAATAAACAGTTTTCAACTCTTACACATTGCTAGTGCATCCTGTTCGAATTGTATAATATGTATGATTGTTATATCAATGGATAGATACGAGATTGTTGTCCGTAATAGATCCACACTTGGAATTAGGGATATTACAGGATTATAGATCAACTAGTACCAATATTGTAGTCTACGAATATGAAAATAAATAAAAACAAATCAGTGTACTAGCTTGTCGCTAGGTTTTCTCTAAAACTAAATAGTAATTACAAATATAAAAATCTGATTTTTTTACCTCTTATTTCATCCAATCACTTCGATAATATTACAAAGCTGCAAAGAAGAGGGTCATTACATATTAATACCGCTATAGTTGTGTTGGATCGATAAACTGTATTATTCTTTCGCAATTCAATATAGGTTTATATGAAAGAGTTGCGTCGGTCAAGTCAATACACGCCTGAAAACCCAGAAATTATCATAGTTGGTTCCGGTAAATAAGCATGCTTTATGTATTTGTCGGATCGAAATACGCTGAAGATATACAAACATACATTTATAATCGAATGCAGTAACCTGTACTGATCTACATGGTGACTGAGTATGTTTAGTAAATATGAATACTAGAGTAATTTTCTCATTCAGGTATTCTTGGCTCGGCCATGGCTGCGGTACTTGCTCGGGATGGTAGAAGAGTAGTCGTTGTAGAAAGAGATCTAAAAGAGCCTGATCGTATCGTAGGAGAATTGCTTCAACCAGGTGGTTTTAAAGCGTTACAAGAATTAGGCCTAAAAGGTAATAAATATTCAATCACATGTACTCTTAGGACTGATGGTAACATCCACATAAACTATGATTTCCTTACGGTATTCTGTAAGATATTTTGTGTACAGGGTCTCTAATATTGATAACATTTCTAAATGAAGTGGCTGTAGTAATAATTTTACATTACTACTACTCTAAGTGTCTGTGTGTCTCTGGATCGTTACTAAAATAATTGTATTCTAATCAGTCTAAAGTGTGTATATATCTCGCTTTTAAAAGTAAATGAAACTTGGGCATGGAAGGCAATTATAAGCGGAATATGTTAGATAGTATCTTCAATCATCTTACTTAATTCCTTTTAGTGGGTTGCAAATCGTTGAGAAATAAGATAAATATATTATGGATGAATTGTTATAAATTTAATTGTTCTCGTAAAAATGTATTGCAGCTGCTGTTGAAGGAATCGATGCACATTGTGTCCGTGGGTATGTAGTTCACGATATAGATAGTGGATCAAAAGTAGATTTGTCGTATCCTAATGATGATAGTGGTAATATCATGACTGGTCGTGCTTTTCATCATGGACGATTTGTAATGGGATTGAGAAAACTCGCTCAGGCTGAACCGAAGTTAGTACCATCTGTAACATTTTCGTGTGACGATGAAAGTTATTATCTATAATGTTTTGCTAACCAATTTAGAACCTTTTCATTTTTACCGATGTCTTTTTGTAATTAATATAGTGTGACAATGATTGAAGCAACTGTGTCCGAGTTAATGGAGGAAAAGGGAAACGTAATCGGAATTCGTTATAAGCGGAAAGGACAAGATGAGTTAGAGGTATGCCTCCATTAAAAGTAGGCTATTCATGCTTATTATATCGAGTGTGAAATGGTGGTTTAATTAACGTGTGCTCGTTAGGAAATTTTTCGTCAACTTTTAACTTGTAAAACCTTAACAGATAGTTTATAAGGCTATCAGCTCTTGCAACGCATTCAATTGTATTTTTAATTTATTGTATCAGACGCTGCAAGCCCCTTTGACTATTGTTGCCGATGGGTGCTTTTCGAAATTTCGAAAGTCTTTAGTGAAATCACAAGTGAGTGTATCCTCGCATTTTGTTGGTACTTTGATGGAGAATTGTCCTCAAACGAAAGGTAAGCTACTCGAATTTTGTACATGCATTTGCAGTTGTTGACTAAAAAATCTTGAATTATCTATGAGGAAGTAATGTGACATCGTTATGCCTTTTCTTTAGCCAATCATGCCGAACTCGTTCTAACTCCAACAACCCCAGTACTGATATATCAGGTTTCCTCGCATCATACGCGTGTTCTTGTTGACGTTCGAGGAAAGTTGCCTTCTGATCTCAAAGAGCATGTAAAGAAGGTATCTGTTTATATGCCAGCAAATATTAAAGGACCATTCCTAGAAGCAGTTGAAAATAATCGATTACGAAGCATGCCTTCCAGCTTTTTACCACCAGCACCTTTGCTAAAAGCTGGCGTTATTCTCCTTGGTGATGCATTTAATATGCGCCACCCTCTTACGGGTTTGTATGATTTTTAATTATATGCTACAAATATACTAGACGTAATCTTCACGAAATCTTTCAGGTGGAGGAATGACTGTCGCTTTGAATGATGTGATAATCTGGCGTAATGTACTTCGTGAGAAGTTACCTGATGTCCGCGATAATGAAGCAGTTTTACAGTGTTTGAAAAATTTTCATTGGCAACGTAAGCAGAATCACTCTTTTGTTGTAAACGTATTGGCTCAAGCGCTTTATCAGCTTTTCTCTGCTGCAGATGGTACGAATAATACTATATGATATAGTAACTATATGTCAGTTATTAAGTATGTTACATCGTATAAAGTAACGATTTTTGCATACTCTAGAACACCTTAAGAAGCTACGACAGGGTTGCTTTGGTTACTTTAAGCTAGGTGGAAGAGCTGTTGATGGTCCTGTAGAATTATTATCAATGTAAGCCTCTTTTTATATGTCGATTAAGGTGTTTATCTATTCTGATATGGTAGTTATAATTTTTTTAAATCGGCATCACTGTTTCTTAGTGTTTCTCCAGAGCCACTCAAACTTATAGGCCACTTCTTTGCAGTTGCATTGTATACAATGTACTCCACAGTCAAGTCCGAACCGTTTTACCGGTTACCACTTACTATATTATTATGCTCACGATTACTTTGGAAGGCCTGCACTGTTATTTTGCCATTAATTTGGTCAGAATTTTATACTGCCATGAGAAGTTAAAACTTGTACGCACTTGACAGTTTTTTTTGTGGCATTTTAATATGATATATAATTTATAGAAAAGAGCCTTTAAAAGTTCGATGGAAAAATATGTCCTTATTAGACTATATAACGATAAGCCTGTAATTATGTTGCTGTATTCCTGCGCTTACTTTTTGTTATATTTATGGTTTTCATATTGATACTTATAATCTTAAAAATATCTCTTTGTTAGATAGTTATTATAAAGCAGTATGTTTTATGTACCCACTGTACAGTAAATCAAGGCTAGGCTACATAACACTTTACACAAAGCAACTGCAATTTCACGTGTAATGTATGGTGTACTAAAAGCGATTGTGAAAAATGTAGATTTTTATTCATCCATAAAACATATTCTGTCTCAAGCAGTAAAAGTAATCAGATTAGCGCAGATTGCATATTATCTTAATTTCAGCTTGTATAGTAACTACATACACGATAAAATTATGACTTCCTGTAACATGAATTAATTCACGGTACATATTGACTGATTCAACTGAGTGAAATTTACCTTGCGTAAGAGACTGTTTTAGTTTTTAGCATTTGAGGAGATTCTTCTCACATTTACAGTATGAAATAAAGCTAGCATAACTGTTAAGCTGGTCTTCTCGCAAGATTCAAGACTTATAATGTTCTATTAAAATTTAATAAAACTTGGGTCAAACTTTAATACGTTCGCTATCGATGCTATTAAATGGGTATAACGGCTAGTTCATTAAGTAGTTATCAAGACCTATGTACAGCGTAAGCCAGAAAAATTATTATATACAGTATCTATCAATTATAGAATTATTTCAAAAAGTCGATAATTTTCGAGTTTACCATAAGAACAATCGTTCAAGCAGTTTACGGTATGCCTTGTATACCAAGCGGTACGGCTTCTTCGTAGGAAATTAATAGATTTACACAGGTTACGGAACGCATCGTACGACGTATGCTGTGTAATGCAGCATCTCTGGAGAAGAGGATATATGGATCATCTGGGTGGAAGGCAACCATCGATTATTGCTTGTCGTCGTTCTTAAACTGTGATAATAATAGTGATACCTCCATTTTGTTGTATTTGATTAGAAATTTTTGACAGGAACGAATAGTGCCTAGAGTATAGTGTAATTGAATTATATCTATCTTAATTGCATAAGATTTCAGAGTAGTATTAAAAAAATATACAGTGTTTCAGTTTGCCAACAGCTAAATTCTACATTATATTTATCACACCATCTACTAATATATGCAAATACGAGAACAGTGTGATGAACAGGCTATGCAATATCAATTAAAGATGATATTATACATTACTGTACATACAGTATCTTAAAAACTTTATAATACATCCCTATGAATTTTACACAGCACTAAATATCAAAGATAGCTAAACTATAAATCCAAAGATACCAATTAATATCATACCTCCTAAGTGTAGGGTGCGAAAAAAGCAGCTACAATTGTTGAGCGATTTAATGAAGGTAATAGCACACCATACCATTCGAAAATAGTTACGATTGCAGCGTATAAACGCAATCTTTGTTTGGACATTTAGATATTTGACTATCAATATAGAAATTAATTTTAATGTAAAAGTTGTAATGAGACATTCTCATTCTCATCGTAGCATAGCAGAATAATCAATATTTTAAATACAAGAAAATATTACATTTACAATAGATGTATAATTATGATCATTTCTTTACTATAAAATCAATCATTCTAGTCGACGCCTACTGTAAACTATACAAATATGAGTAAGCTAAAATTTATATCATTTATTCATTACTAATAAGTTTCGACTTCTGTGTGCTCATTGCATACTGTAGCACAACTACTGTGAACTATTTTGATCCTTACGCTTGTTATAATTATTAAACATGTGCAATGTTGCTACACCTGTTGACGGTAATAGCATAGATATACAGCATGCTGTATGTCCTCTGATCACTCTATGATTAATATATGTATTGGTATAATTTTAGCTGTTTAAAAATTGACTTTCCATACCTGTTAAAGAACTTGTTATACAAGATAAGCCATAATCTCCATATAACATGCCAATAGCCTCTTTGATAGCTCGATACAGAATAGCACCCGTTAACATAGAATCAGCCAGCTTTTCATCTTCGTAAATAATTTCAGTTAGTAAATACCTATAAGAAGTGGAAATACGTATAAATTTCTATTTTATAGCACTTATACAATAAAGCAATAGTATATTTTCGTGAGCATCCAAGTATTTCGCACAGTTTAACGATTAATTAATGAATATAATTATTATTTTAGTACAGCAATGCTAGCTGCTCTGGAATCGGTGATATTAATGCGTTTGCAGTATTACCTGTTTTTAAACCTGACCATATTACTGTATTGTATAAGTAATTGCTTTGATATTTAAAAATTAATCAAAAAGCCAATATTGATGCCTCAAATTTTTCAAAAAGTAAAGATGGATCTCAATCAGCAATTCAATCGATCGAAATTTCAATCGATCAATTTATCTATCGAAGAACTAATTGCAAACAAGATTTTGCATCACTGCTGCTCTGTACTGTACAGTACAGTACAGGATACTGTAGTTACAGACTACAGTACAGTAATTAATACGCGAATCATAAGACTACTAGATAAATCCCTAAATTTAATAGTCCAGTCGTGTACAGTTTTTTAAAGGCAGAGTACAGTACAGTACAGTAGTAGGGACAAGTACAGTACAGTACACATTGCTGAAACAGTTCTACAGTATCCGTTTACAGTACTGTACTGTACTGTACTGTACTGTATTGACTGTGAGTAAATTCACTGTAGCGTCCTTTAACCCTTCGACGTTATCCTGCAGTTCTAGCACTATCCATTAGTCTTTTACAAGGTTTTAAAGCTAAAAAATCGCTTCGTTTTTGAAAGAATTTCTTCTTAAGGATAGTACTAAGCGTTCGAAGGGTTAATGGAGTAAAAACGCAACCCGAACCCGATAAAATGGTTGATTTTCAAAGCCGAAAGGAGTGCAATCGCTATACAAACACTGTATCAGCACGGAATTACTCAACCCGAATCCCTCCTTTCGGGTTTGACTTTTAAGGACACTGATTCATTTTGTCTACTTGACTTGACTATGAGTTGCTGCCCCTTTTATGACAGTGCTGTACGCTCAGTGGTATAAGTACTGTGGAAAAAAAAGACCCGATGACTCAATAGATAGAATACTGTACAGTATAGTGCTTAGCAGTGTACTGCATTGGTAGCTAGAACTCAGAAGTCAGCAGACTACCGGTAGTGTTGCAAAATACTTCATGAAGGAATGAATGAAAAAGGATGATAGTTATTAGTTATTAATGAGTTAATAATGAATAGTAATTATGATTAATCAATGGATGACATATAGATGCTTTCTTGTGAGATCCCTTATATTTTTAATTCGTCCATCCGATTCTGGTATTAGTTTATTAATTTGTATCGCTTATTGGCTATACTATCTCGAATGTAATACGTAAGAAAGCAGCGAAATAGTAGCTAGGATTAAACTTATCTTCTCTATCAAGTGTTAATAAGTTCGAAATTTACACTAGTTACACTATCAACTATCATGTAATACTGTAAACGTATCACTATGTATATTTATACTGCATAGGGTATGAAATTACTCAACTTTATAACAGATCTTAAACATTTTAAATTGAAAGTAAGTCAGCCACCGTCGCTCCTAAACAGCACGAATATAATATCGTGTAGTACATCCGAAGTATCAGATAATGTTATCATTAATTCCAAAATGTTATCTTTTGAGTGATCAGATGTAATTGATTTGCTGTTTAATCAATTTTACTTAGATCTCATTTCGTCAACCGTTGAAATGAGAATTACTATAAAATACTAGTCGCCCTCGTATAAAATTAGAGTTTAGTCAGGGAAGTATTAGTTGTTAATCATTACCATTCATTGACTAAAGCCGAGAAATTTTGAAATTTTAATGCGATACCTTGATGATGACACTGGGGTGAAATACAAGTGATAGAACTTTCACCAGCATAAAAAATAAAAATTTATTGCAGTTTACAATATTGATAGTTCATTGATTGATGATAGTATCATACTGCTTAATTGCTTATATTAACATCAGCCATCATACCCGAGCTGTTATTCTTCGGTGAAATTACTTACGTATTTGTCATTCTATAACCGTAAGAGATGTTGGTAACGCCTAGGTTGTACTATACTACGTTCCAGAAATTAAATCATCCCGATATGATAGGCTTTATAAAGTAATGTATATATATATATATATATATGTACACTATAAATACGTGTGATTATCGTAATACTCGGTTGTATTCGAGCGCTCGTGTATCTAGGAAAGTATCTAATTAAAGAAGGTGCAGTATGACTACTGCCAATACTCCCATTTTATTGTAGATAGTAACTCCAATTTCGGGATTGAATGAACGGCAGTTAACTCACCGCATAATACAATACCGGAATAGGATGACTAATTGCAATAAGTAATAAAAGATTGCTAGAATATGTATATATATTGTAAGCAAACTGTAACTACCTTTGTTGCATTCTGGATATGCATACAGGTATGTTCATCAAAATCTCTAATTCACGAGTTTTTACACGAAAATTAGTTGAAATATATTCTTACGATGAATTTTATAATACTCTGGTTGAGATATTTTATTTACAATTAATAGATAGTGTATTAAATTGTAACAATGACACATTTTAGTTTATATTGTAAGGTATGAGCTGGATTTTACTTCAGGATGTCATAAAACTAGATAGGTTTAGATATATTCGTATATTATCTCTGGTACGAGGGGAAAAGAGAAAAAAATTAGATTTTAGATATAGTAATCACTGGGAGATTGGAAGTAGATATATTGTACTTCAATTATTCCAAGCAAACATAGAACTAGTTAGAAACAATTATATCACGTACTATAGTTTTAATAACCCTTTAGAAGTCCTGGTGCATGAAACATACGCCATTCTCTCTTTACTTTTTCAAGCATTTCGCTTCCATTAGACGTGGCGACATAGGTAGATTATAATTAATTATATTGATGAGTCACTAGTACGCACTTAGATATACTTTTAATACTGAATGATTTAAAGAATAACGTTTCCTTTTTTTATTAACTTAATTTGATATCTTCTCCAATAGACATAGTTAATTTACGTTACGGAGCTCGCGTAAATAATGATAACATTGCACGATCTTTAAACTAGAAAGTTAGGTAATCATTTTACCAATATTAGCCATCAATATGATAAACTACTAAATATATTATCTATTTTCGATTTCTCTATTATCATTGCGAAAGAAAAGTGTGATATATCATCCATAAAGTGGAATAACCATCGAGTGTTAAGTATTTTCAGATAGAATATAGGCAATGAAAGGTCAGTTACTGTTATAATTGAATGACTTATATCTTGTTTTCAATTTTATAGTAAGATACTATGAATCATTTTAAACACAAATTTTTGTAAAGCAACTATGAAGAAATAATAATATTGCGTCTATCGTATCAAACTATGTATCGTGAGAAGAGAGTTTTACAATGAAATTTTGCTAACATAATAAGTATTTATTTATAACTGTAGCCATGTTGTATATGCAGATTTCAAATTGATTACAGTTTAATGACTAATTTTATACTTTTATAGAATCGTAGCGTACCGTACTCTTCAGCGGAGATTGTTGTAAACGTCTTTATGATATCAGAAGTTACTGGGCTGAAATCTTGAGATAGATTGTAGGATTTTATCCATTATGTCGTGTGGTTCATTTTGATCTGTCAATTAGGGTTTGTCAAGATTAGATATGAAGAACTGAATTTTAGGTAATGCGATATCCTAATTACAGCTTGTTATCTATATTACATGATGGGCGCACATTTATAAATGTACGTTTAATTATGAATCACAATATCATACGTCTTAAATAAAACAGATATTGATATCAAGATTAAATCAGTGATAATAATAATGTATACTGTAATAGCGTACAATTAAATATCTAAAAAGATTAATGTCTGTCTAAGAATAGCACAAGAGAAATAAAGTTTTTCAAGTTTTTAGCAGCACATATGAACATGAATTGGTAAGTCGTGATGCGAGTAATGAGCGATAGGCATTTATGAAACCGAGAAGTGTCCGGATGCAGCTCGTCGTTGGTTCTCTTACTGAAAGATTGTATCATCTAATATTATATAATATAATTTAAATAAAGAATTATCCATCGTTAGGTACATTCATAAATATATTAATGAATACTAACTACATATCAACAATCAACTATTTGGCTTGATTTTTAATTTAACATCGTGTCATAAAATACAATTGCCGTCTCGACAGAATCTTCCTGCCTAGCGAAGTACTCCTTGAATACTACTCTTGAGCTACAGCTCTCTCAGAGTTTTCGTTTGGTAACTTATAATAGGTTGATATGTTAATATAAAATTCGGATATACTTATTTGTACCATCGTGTATCTTGCTTTTTGGCCCTAAAGCGACAAATATTCTTATTTGCGAAATTTCGCTATCGTAATATCTCGCCGTATCATGACTCCGGAACGAATATCTCTTTATCAGAAGAGGGCTTAAATTATTCTAGCATATAGAGCATAATGTGTATCAGTATAATCAACTAAAACTTTTCATTTTTTTATTCAGAGCAATTTAAGGCATTGGCCAAGTAGTGACGTTATGCTGATGAAACTTGTAGGCATGGTAGCTTTGGATCGTTTACATATAGAATAGACAGGCTTAGCCCCTACAAAATAAATGAGCGGGAATATAATAGCTCCAGCTTGATAATAAAGGAATGAAGTTAAATACTCAGTAAAGTTACTGAATAAATATACCGATATGCTTCATTGGTTTTATCCTACTTTTATTTCCGTTTCGGAATGAAAGTATATTAAGAAATTAATCGATTTATATTATACTATCGTTGCCTTCAGTTATTGATATCGATAATATACGAACTATTAAGTTGATTATGATTAGAGAGTCCGCATTACTGCAATGATTGCTAACATTAACGGCTTTCTTGAATAATTGTAATCTATAGAAGCGAAATGCGAACAGATTAATAATTTTGCGTACATTAATGTAGTATATGTATTTGACAACAGAAATACGAAAAT